CTGCCCTCATACACTGAATGAGGCAGAGTTTGCAGTGACCCAGACTGGAACCCAAGGGCCATACGTGGTTCTCCAGGATGTAAATAGTTCCAAGTTCTCTGCTCCTTTGAAGCCCTAGGAACAATTTTGTTGTTTTTGTTTTACTTTACACGGCAGAGCAAAGTTGGCTGCCAGAACCACTGTCAGTGCTTGTTAACCCCGAGGGTTTCTGCAGCCTGGCCTTTGGAAAGCCTGAGGGTGACAGGTATAGGCAGATGCCCCACATGCTCAGACATCAGTGATCAGAATCCTTGTTCTTCCCCTCCAGGAGGAACTTCCCTGTGAGTCTTGTCTTTGTTCACGGCAGCATTCAAAAGATTGTTGGGAAACGTGGCTGTGTGAGTCGCCACAGGCAGGCAACTGGAGCAAGCACAAAAGCATGGCAAAGAATTACTTCATTTCAGCATCTCTCTAGATGTTCCCACTTCATGAAACAATGTAGAAAAGGGAGGTAGTTCTTTCTTGGGATGACTGGTGTTTTGGGATACCATCCTTCTCACCACAGTTTCATTTTCATGGCACATACCACCCCCATCTCTTCTTTTGCAAGGCAAAAACGCATTCCCCTCAGCAACCACAAAGCTTTCCAAAGGTAACCAAAAGAACTTACAACTGTATTTGAAACAAAAATATGATGCAGCTTCTTTGCATTGAACTATAAAGTAAAACAAAAACAACAAAATTGTTCCTAGGGCTTCAAAGGAGCAGAGAACTTGGAACTATTTACATCCTGGAGAACCACGTATGGCCCTTGGGTTCCAGTCTGGGTCACTGCAAACTCTGCCTCATTCAGTGTATGAGGGCAGGCCGGCTCTTGGTCATCTTGCTTGGCTTTGTTCAGCAGAAAAGGCTGGAACAAAAGGAGGGAGAGAGAAAAGATTTGGTTGGATTCATCCAACAGGCATATTGAGATGGCAGAGGACAATGACTGCAGTCACTTTACTCCAAGAGGACCTGCAAAGCCTTTTGACTCTCAGCAGCTGTCTCTTTATGGAGAGCATTCTTACAGCTTTTCTGCCCTTCTACCAGACACATCCTGCTCATTTTCTTTTGCAAGTTTGCCAGCAGATCATGGCAATGCATCCCTTTGCCCAGAGGGGCCCACACAACTTGGTGTTCTATGGAAAATGACACTGCAAAGGCCCCGTGGGATGGCAGGTTACAGCTCTTGAGTCTTCCCCACTGCTTGCACCACAGGAAAACACAACATTTGTAATGGCTAAATTGTACAATCAAAAACATAGCAGCAGCTCTAGGAATTCCTTTTGGCCAATAGTGGTCACATGCCTAGAAAGGAGTGTGAACTCTGGCAGCAACAAGCAGCACCTGATAGCTCTCCATCCACCTTGTTTCACCCCAGCTCATTGACATCATTTTTAGTGGGCTTCTCAAAGTTTCCAAGAACACACCAAGCAGTGAGTCCCAGCTCACAGGTTGCAGCATCAGGAATGAAATTCAACCCCAGGAGAAGGCTCAGGTGTGAGGCTGCACTTCTTGCCTGACTCTGCTGTGCATGGCACAGTCCTCTCCCCTCTTTCAGCACCCACTCTTCCCATGCTTTGGTCCCTACTCACTGCACACGTGCTCTCCAGCAGCTCTGCCTTGGCACAGCTGATGCTGCACAGAGGACAATTTGACACAGAGCACAGCACCATCCCCAAGCTGACCCAGAGCCCTCTCTCTGCCCAAAAGCACCTCCTACCCTTCCCACTCCAAAAGCCAGCGCATGACTAAGAGGGCTGCTCATTTTAACTCAGGAAAAGGGAGGCAGGAATTAAAGCTCTTCCATTCCTACCTCAATTGCAACCTCCCTTCCTGCAGCCAAACATCAGCCCCAACGCCTCTGTGCTTTCACAGAATGTCAGAAGGGAAAGACTCCTTGCCCTTACCCACCTACACCTACAGAGCTGCTTTCTGCACTGCTTGCTTCCAGCTTGTAAAGGCCAATCTGCAGCATTTCAAGTGGCAGGAGGGACACGATGGTAGAAGCAAACTCCCGAGTATCAGGACAGGAGATACAGTTCTTCGTCTTACCCCTCTGAACAGGGACTTAGATTTACACATCTTTCTGGCATCCCAGCACTGCATACTCACTTCAGTTTGTTGGTGCCTTTGCTTGCTGGAAGCTGACATCTGTTGGGATTCTTTTCATTTCTTCTTCTTTTTGGGAAAATCCCCGTTGTCTTCTCTCTAACAGGAAGAAAGAAAACAGGAAAAATTCACTCAGGTCCTTGAAGTTCAAATAAAGTACAGACCAGTTTGAAAGATTCTGGTTGAAAAGAGAAAAAATAACACACTGGAACTCACAAAGTGGAAACCCAAGCACAGCAGGCAGGGATTTCACGTCCACTGGCAAGTAACCGAAAATGACATTTCACCTTCTTTTGCTTGGATAGGTGATATGTTTTCTAATGGCAAGGACAGATCTCCTGAGCACCTCCTTGATAATTGTAATAAAATGTAAGGCCCTTCCATTGCTGAAAATAAACATTTCATCTGTTCTGGGTGGGCTTTTTTTTCCCACTCCATCATGATTGTAGAGAAATGTTTTCAGACTCCTGGTGGCAAAGTCAGGACCTGTAAGCATATCTCTTTTGGGATACCCCCCGTCAATGGGACGGAAAAGCTACGGTCACAGGCGAGTGAGATCCCTCAGATAGCCCAGATGTGCAGGGGCTTCTGATGTTATTACCAAAAATCTGAGAGGGGTGAAATTGTAAAAATGCAGTGAAAATTGCTGCCTTTGTCTTCCAGAAGAACAGGAAGCATTAAGGAAGAGAGTCAGTCAATGAAAACTTTTTATAGGTTTTAGAGCATCGGTTCTAAAGCATCCAGTGTGCAAATCATCAGCTCACCTGAATGAGAAACTTCTGAATCCTTTGCTACCAGTCAAGAAAATGTAAAAGAAAGTGCCCTTATCACTTAGCATTACCCACAGCGTGACTGCTGATAGCCAGAAGCATCCCAGGACTTTCGTGTGTACCTCCCAGAGTGTAGACACACAAGGAACCATTCAGCAGCTTCTCCACAAGGCTGCTGTCAAGGAGTTCTCCTTCCAGACTGCACTCACGTCTGGGATACAGGCTCTGAGTT